AAAAAGTTGAATAAACCTCTTTATTGTTTCTTCACTTTGTTGAGAGTCTTTATGGTAGTGAAGCAAAATCTCTTGGAAAAGTTGTTAGCTTTTAAGCTAAAGAAAAATCTACACTGGAACATCTAAATGTCAGGTGCTAGCGTAAAACCATCGAGTCCGTGCTCAGCTATGGAGAGTAAGTTGCTAACAAAAAGTTCCAGAGGTCAGTGTGCGCAACAAGTGTCACACTAAAAACTGCAAGTTAGTCTCCGCAAAGGATGATATGCGCTCCGATGGTTATGGTGCCCAGTACAAATATATAGCGCTCAGGCTGTTAATATGCACTGATGTATCATCAATGACGTCGTATCCTAATTGAACATAGTAAAAGAATAAAATTACAGGTACTTCATTTAGATTTGAAGTTTGTAGGCATATGTTTTGTAAACTTTTGGAAGAATAAAAGAAAAAGGTGGCAGAGATGGGTTCCTCCGATTTTCGTGGAGGGGTGACATTTTTCTTTTTCTGTTGGATTTGGCTTCTTTTATTTTTATTGGTTTAAATTTATTGTATAAACACTCTACAAACAAAATTCCAAAACTTATGCCAAGTCCAATCGTAAAAATAATGAAAACAACAAAGACATTCTGCATACTGAATGCATAAACTGGATTTTCTTGTTCTTTGAATTCGCTATCACTTATTTCTTTCTCACGGTATTTTAAAAGAGCGAGTATTCCAGCTTCCTTAAATTTTTGCACACTAAAAAATATTTTATAGTAATTATTATTCTTCACTATTTATTTTCATTTAAAGATACTTACTAATAGTTGAAAAACCCTAGAAGAGGATCTCCTCTTCTCAAACCAATACCCATATGTGTCAACGTATTCAGTGGAATGGCGACCATTTTGCAAGGTTTTGAGCGCATCACTCGATACGGTAAAAATGATGCTAAATAAAGAACCGTTCTCTCACTACATACCTGAATTGAAAAAAAACTTTTGTTACTGCATATTCTAGAGAATGGTACATATTGAAAACATTCAATTTTTTTCTATAATTTCCTTGATTATTTTGGTTCTCTGTCTTATTTCTAAACACGATTAACATATAAAAGTGTCTTATAATTTTGTCAGAGGATAAAGTGTAACTACTTTTAAACCGTCTATTTTTAATACAAAACAAATTTTGAACTTAGTCTGAGGGTGATCTAAGTTAGTCACATGGTGTGTGTGTGTGTGTGTGTGTGTAGAAGTTTGTATGTACTTTATCAAATTTTCCGACTCAAGTAATTATGGTGTAAATAAGTTGGAATTTGGTTAGTAGTTTCAAGTTGGATGTCTTATATGACTAAAACATCGTTTTCTTTTAGACAAAATTCATTAAATAGAAAAATTTTGTCAGCATTTTGAGTTCAGCACTCTGAGACGAAAAAATCAGTTATACAGAGATAACGTTTTTTACATCCATTTAACACGTTTGC